TGAATTTGTGCTCAGGCCAAGCTAAAGGATCAAGTGCTTTTTCAAGGTAGGAATCAGGTAGGACTATTTTAAAAGAAGAAATAGAACGCTTATGCTTAAAGTTAAACTTAAAAACAGCTATTTCATTAGAAGCTACCTTAAGATGGTTTAACATCATCAACAGCAGCATCCGGCATAAGCCGAGAGACCGCCCTCAGCGTAAGTCCAGAAGATCAGCACTTCAGGCGCCACACCAACCAGAGGCCTTGGAGACATCACAGAAAGAGCACAGGGTAGGTTGTCCAACGATGGGGGTTGTCCAACGATGGAGGCTCCAAGATGAGAGGTGGCTCGAGATTTGTACTCGGTACGCTGATCGCTTCTCGCAAGGGAGAAATATTAGAGTGCCCTGAAGGAAGGCTCATCAAGTCCCTTGGTACTGGAACAGCATAAGTAGGTAGACAAGTAGGCGACGGTAAAATGTTTGGTGTTGAAAAATCATCGACTTGTACAGCATGGGATGTAGGGGTATTCAGTAATTTAGCAGTCAGCAGGTTGTTGTTCGGAATTTTTCGTCTGGGGGATTCGCTTAACAACTTTAGCCCAAGGAATTGAGTTTCAAGAGCGTGGAATTGCTCGTTAAGGGCCGAGAATTGCTTGCGGACATCTAGAAAACCATTTCTCGTCTGTTTCATAAAAGTCCGCATCTCTGACTCAATTTCTCTACAAGCGATGCAAGACCATGTCAAGCCAATTTTCTTGTTGATAAGGTCACTTATCCGTCCATTGTGTCCTCCTCCAGCACATTTAATATGTGAGCAGTTGTTGCAGAGCCAACAAGACAGGTATGAGTCACCCGTGATGGATCCACCAAATTCACATTTTTTGGCTGTGCATGTAAGACTCATTTTTGACTTCTTTTTTAACGGATTGCAGACCACTGTAGTAGCGTGTAAAGAATTTAGGCTCTCTGAAGCACTTTGTAGCCGAGAGTGGATGATCAGATCGGATGTAAGAGATGACGTTACCTATGATGTAACGGGTTACGTCCAGAGAGAACAGCTCGGAGAGACTTATGTTGGAGAATATAGTTAAAGCACAACAGAGATAACTTCAAACGATTAAATGTATAAATTGGAAATAATTAGTTCAATGAACTTATTAAGTTGAATTTATTTTTAGAGATTAATCGTTATATTTCCACTTGTCGCGGAAGGAGAAAGCTTGAGTTCAAGATCAAAAATAATTGCAAACTGCCAAGAGCGATCGAAGAAACACGTCCGGACACGGCAAGTGAATATACAGAAGTGTCACACAATCACATATCAAATGAACTGAACAACAAATTATTATCTCTAAAAATAGACAGTATAACCCGATTATCCAGAAATATATTTAGAATAAGTGCACAATACATAAACGCGGTTGAGATAAAATCAATCATTTTGGGAATGATTGAGTTGAAAGGTGCAGGATCAAGTGGATCCTAAAATCTCGCCGCTGAAGTGTTGAAAGTGCTTAATAATTATAATACTAATATGAATCAAATCGTATCCATAACTTCTGATAACGGTGCGAATATACTAAAAACAACAAATATTTTGTCATTTGTTTCCGAACAAAATAATGAAACGGACGACGAAGAGTGCACCAACGATGATTATATACAAAAAATCGAGCTTATGGAAACAGTGCCCTCTGTATTAATAGGCAATACTTAAGTTTGTCGTTGTGCTGCACATACAGCACAGCTTGTTGCTCTTGGTGTGATAAAATCATTGGATATTATGAAGTATTTACTCAATTGCAGAAATATGACAAAATATATAAGAAAAACCTCCAATGGATATTGTGAAATATTTGAATTGAAAAAATTGAAAATGGCACAATTAGATTGTCCAACCAGATGGGGATCTACGTACATAATGTTAAACAACTTGTTGGTAGCCAAAGATATTTTAAGTAAAATTGAATCTATTAAAAACAAATCGGATGAAGAGAATTTTGATCTAGATTGCTCGATTTGGGATTTTATTGAGGATTATTGCAATGTTTTCAGTCCCTTGCAAAAAAGCATAAAAAAATGTCAAGAGGAACAATTACATTACAGTAACTTTTACGCCCAATGGCTCAAACTTAAAATATCTTAAAGAAAAATTTGTAAAGGATACATTAATGGATAATTTTACGAAAACTATCGGAAATGGAATTTTTAATTCTATTGAAAAACGAACAAAAATATTGTTTAACAACAAATTTATAGTTTCTTGCTAGTTTTTGGATCCACGTTTTCAACATATATTATCGCCGCAACAAAAAAATGACACAATGAAATGATAGACTTAATAGTCTTCACCCTACTGGCAATATGTGCTCAACTACGAATTCCAACTCTAATGAAATGCAGAATAATTTTTTTGATGAGGACGACGAGTTGTTAGAAGCGTACTTATCTCAAGGCGTGAAGTGAAAGGAAAGACAAAACTAGGGTGACCAGATAGCTGAGGTGGGAAATACGGACACCGCCGTTTTGTCGTATCCACCCCCCCCCGGTATATTGAAATTATACTTTGCATATTCTTGATTGACTGATTGAGAATAAAAAAGACAGATGTTACAGAAATACACAAAGCAACGCTAAAAGCAATGTACATATGTACGCGACAGTATGCATACATACATAGCAAACCGAACAACCAGACGCAATCGTACCATATTTCTAGGGAATTTTACCGTTAACGCGTGCTAAACTAATTGCGCGTTCTCTACGTCAGCTGCGAGCGCGGGCGCTTTCGAATGTTTAAGTCTAGAAACTCCTTTCGGAAAAATTGCAGGTGCAACCTGTTTTTTCGTTAAAAACGCGAAAAATACGGACATTTTACAAAAAAATACGGACGAACGGACACAGAGCTGAAAATACGGACATGTCCGTATTAATACGGACGCCTGGTCACCCTAGACAAAACAGTATACCGACCAGGAATTATACGCCATTAGTAATGTTTGTTATGCCGTACCGCCAACTCAGGTAAATGAAAATGGCCTAATTAATTAAAATTGTATCATTTATTTATTATTTTTATAACAGGTGTCGACTATCGAACGACTATCGCTATCGATTAGGACACGATGTTCTTGAGAACATATTGCTCGTGAAATTAAATCCCAGCTTTCTGGGCATGGCCATTGATACGTTGCCACTTTTTGAACAAGAGGAACTTTGTAATGATTAATACAAAAATGAATATTATTTTTATATGTTATTTTATTCCAACGAATTTTGATTTAGTTTTTTATTTTTGTAAACTTAAGAAAAATTAAAAAAGTTTAAAATGAACACAATAATAAAAAAATTCAAGTACACTATGGTATACATATGTAAGTAAATGATAAACATTTCTTTAAGGGGTTATATTCCTTCTTTGTCGAAGAAAAAGAGGAAAGTTCGGATTTTTTTTTAGGTATGTAGCAATAATTTAATTACACAGATGATTTAATTTTTTGATAGTACACTTTATTAACAATGTTTGTGCAAAATTTGGTGGAAAAATATTAAATAGTTTTTAAGGGGTGGCTGTTTCCCTTAGAGGCTTTTTTTTTTAGAGCCTTGCGGTGACAGTTCCCCAGGTCGAACAGGTCAACTTAAACCATAAAAGTAAAAAAGTTTCATTAGTTTAGTGTAATTACTTGTGCTTGAACGATCGATTAAAAAATTTTTTTTTTTTTATGCATACGCAACGTTTTATGCTAAAAATAAACTTTTTGGTCTCTAGAAATATCACTAAAAAAATTCACTTCGGCGAAAAAAAAGAGCACAAAAGAATTTCATTACGAACATTTAAAAAAAAATTTGAAGTAAATCGGTTCAGTAGTTTTCCGCCAATCCATGTCACCGCAAAGTCATTTTTCATTTTTCACACCATTTCGAGATATTCGCGTTTAAAGTTTCAAGTTCAGTTCAAGGCCGCGACAAGGCGCGCGGTTAGGAGCGCTGTAACTTTTTTTCTACTGCTCCAATCTCTATGAAAATTTGGGAAAATGTTCTCAAGGAGTTTTTCTTCAAGAAAAAGCAATAAAAAAATGTTAGATTTTTTGAAAATAAAAAAGGTATATAACCCCTTAAAGTAGTAGCTAATCAAAAACAGTCGCACCGCCGACTTCCGCGAATCGTACGCTTCTTGCTTTTTCGACTTACGCTGCTGAACAAAAGCAAAAGCGACAAAAATCAGAAGTAGGAAAAAGCCTAATGCATTACTTTTCGCGACTGTGACTGTCGACAGCTGCTGCGACAACTTATGTATACGATCGGAGGCAACAGCAAAGCAGAAAGCAGAAAAACGAAAGCCGGCGACTTATGCTGCTTTCTGATTTTCGTAGCTGTTTGATTTTTGTCTATGCTTTGACTGCGACTTCTGATTTTTTCAGAAGCAGTAGCAGAACCAAAATCAAATGAACTGAAATTTGCCGCAGTTTTTTAAGCGCTGAAGGGGAGTATAGGGAAGGCCGGTGATGATCCCAAGGATCCAAGATTTGGACCAAGGAAGGGAAGCCTTCGTGGTGCCCAATACCGTAGTGTTCTCTTGACCGCTGTGTTTTTTTTTTGTTTTGGTGGTTTGATAAATTATGTAACTTAGTCGTTTTTCCTTTTGCTTGTTTGTAATCTAATCTAATCTAATCTATGTAAACGCGTGCTAGCCGGCGAGGAAGAAAAATCCCGATAAAAAAAAATGGGCAGACCCTTACACCCTTATACTGTGTGTGTGCGGCAGAGCTCGGGCAGATATGTCCCTCGAATTGGGCCCTCCCAAGCACTGTTTTTATCCAAAATGTTTCTGTTTTAGGCTGCATCTTTTCGCCACCCTACGCGATATTTCATCGACGCACGTGCTAAATATCCGCGCCAATGAAGATGTCGCACAGACAGAGACAAACATCTAGATGGCGTGGTTACTACACGACAGGGTTGTTCCAATTCTCTTGTTTCACATCGACGATAATTGGCCGACGCTACTGTGACGGTTAATGTATATATTTACTTATGTCTCCCATGCATGAAAATTTGTTTATAAGATGGGCTCAACAATGGTGAAACCGTTGGTAAAAAATGGAAATTTGTTGGATGTACTGCCTACTCAGGTAATTTATCTACACTCATTTTTAAAATACCTAATAAAAATTTGTCCCTATTTAAGGGTACTCTACATGTAGTTATGTTAGGATTGGATTCTGCGGGTAAATCAACAGCACTATACAGACTTAAATTTGATCAGTATTTGAACACAGTCCCAACTATTGGATTTAATTGCGAGAAGGTGTGCTTACAGTTTTTCATGGTACATGTGCTTAACCATACTCATTTAAATTATTTTAAGGTACAAGGAACTATTGGAAAAGCAAAAGGTGTGCATTTTCTAGTTTGGGATGTGGGAGGACAAGAAAAATTAAGACCACTTTGGCGAAGTTATACTCGGTATTTAGTTGTTATTTATCTACTAATGAAAATTTTAACGGGCAATGTCATTTTCTTCATATTATTATTTATATAGTTGCACAGATGGCATTTTGTTCGTCATCGATTCCGTTGATGTAGAACGTATGGAAGAGGCAAAAATGGAATTAATGCGTACAGCAAAATGTCCGGATAATCAGGTAATTTTAAGTAACAAGTCGCCGTAGCATATTCATAACAATGAGGTATAACAAATACATTTATATGACAAGGGATATATTTAGAAATCATCTGTTGAAAAATAATATCTACGCAGATAACTTTAATCCATTGTCTCTGTATCATAGTTTCTTAGCCATGTACACACAGTGCTCATTTGTTCATTTGGATACAACAGGTACTCGTAGAGTACAAGGGTACATTGTATTCGTGTGAATGTATTTATGTATCACCCCATAAAGTAAATATATGTATATCGATCCCTATTTGCAAAACCTATTTGAAAATAGGGTTTCGCGACTACTAAAATAGGCGTTTTCCGCTTGAAATATTTAATATATTATTATTATTAATATATTATATAATATATTATTACCAAAATTTGATTGGTAATAATATACGCATTTAAAAAAAAAAAAAAAACGCAAATAGGACATATATTCTTGATCTCCAAGAATTATCAGTTGGGAGAAATTTTCTTCAATGTGAAATGATTTTGCTTCACTAAATTGGGGCTCGTGGGGACATTGGAGTCTACAGTGGGGTCATTGGAAAATGAAACCCAATATGTCCTGTTTGTTTGTTTCCACTATTTTGTGTTCCCCAACCTTAATAGAATTGGATATTTTAGTTACTTAAATACAACCAACATTTGTTCTACACTTTTTTTTCAAAAACTTTAAGATCACATAAAAAAAATTTAAAAAACCTTTTTTAATTGAAAGATGCATACCTTTATAACTAATAAAGATGTCGAAACCAGTGCTGCCAGATTTTGAGAGATAAAATAAGCTAGATTGAAGAAAATAAGCTTGAATAAGCTAAAAATTAAAAAAAAAACTAAAAACAAGAGAGGAAATTTGGGCGCAGCCGAAGTTGATATACCCTTGCAGTTAAAACAGGATATATATCGCAAACAACGGATATAGTTGGTCAATCCTTATAAGAATATCATAATAAAACCAATAAAATATAATAAAATATCTAAAAAATAGTCCCAAGCTTCTATCTTCAAAAATACCAAAGTTGGTATTTCTACCAAATACCAAAACATAGTCGACCGATCGTTATGAAATTTAATAGGTTGGATCAACAGACCAAAAATAGAATCTGTACTAAGTTCCAGCTTTTTATCTTCAAAAACACAAAAGTTGAGTCACTTCCGATCGTTCAGTTATATGGCAGCTATAGGATATAGTAGGCCGATACCGGTCGTTCCGACTTATATACTGCGTGCAAAAGAAATAAGGGTAAGTGCCAATTTTCACGTCGATAGCTTTAAAACTGAGAGAAACTGAGAGAAAACTGAGAGACTAGTTCGCGTAGAAACAGACAGACATACAGACGGACAGACGGACATGCTTATACAAACTCAGGAGGTGATCCTGATCAAGAATATATATACTTTATAGGGTCGGAGATTTGAACAAAATTATAATACATTAGAAAAGTTGATTTTTTACTTTTATTAATACGATTCGATATGATATTTATATAACTATTATGTTAAAGAAATAATTTCATCAACTTCATCATTAGATTCCATATATTTGGCGGATGATTGAACCAAAGCGAGGTATTTCGTTGGAAGTTTCGTTTATATCAGAGGTCGGCACCCCAATACATTGATATGATTTTACCGCATTAGTGTTTTATACTGTGTGTGTGTGGCAGAGCTCGGGCAGAGAAATTTCCTATGCCCCCGAGATAGGGCCGTGCCGACCTCTGTTTTATATATATAACTTAAAAAAAAAGTACTTAGTATATTTAAATAATTTGAAATTTCAAAAACAAACCTTATTCTTAATATTGCTTTCAAGCTTTTTAAACACATTTTGTTGCGAAACTTTGTTTTAACGATGTTTATTTGGCTGAGGTCCCTCTCAACCGCAGCATTCGACCATGGCAGTGAAAGTATATGCAAAGCAAATAAAACCAGTTGCTCGAAAGCTTTGTTTTGGCCATCATCCTTGTACATCAAAACTTATAGTCTGTTCCTTTTTTTCCCAATTAATTAGGTGGATTTTCCAAATTGGGATACGATTTAATTAATATTTTTATATTTGAAATAATTTTGAAAAAATAACAACGAAATAATTTTATCTGGCGTTTTATTTGCATTTAGCATATTGCCAACGGCAAAAATATCCATTTTTTTTAGAACTTCAATGTTATGAGGAAGTCTTACGCTGCAGATTAATACATATCATTTTATTAAAATCCAATTAAAGCTTACCTCTCCCTTAGTTAAATAATTAAAGCCTTGATGAAGTTTTTACAATCTTCTCTGATTTTATATTTTTCACCAAAATATTTTTCGTCTTTGATTTCCTCCTCAAAGGCATACCCCATATATAAGTCGTTAACTGCACAATTTTCCATGTTTTGTTATAAATTTTTTAAAGCCGAAATTAGCTAAATGAAATTTGAAAAAAGCCAGATTTTAAGCTGTATGCATTTCAAGTATTTTTGAAGCTATTTCATTCAATATATGCTAAATCTAGTTGGAAATAAGCTAAAATGGCAACAATAATCGAAACATGATTAATTAATAAGGAAGGTGTTTTTTATATCTATTACACCTTTAAGATAAAACGTCTAAATCAAGGGTGCCCACTCCCATTGCTTTCGTTCCTCCTACGGCAATTCCAATACTTTGAGAATGCAAGAAATACATTCTTGCTTTTGTTTCTGCCAAAATATGAACTTGAAGCGATACATTTTTTCTTTGAAGAAAATGTCATTGTATAATAAAAGGCTGTTGTAAAAAATGAAAGATTTATTTTTTATTGTTTAAAATAAGTTTAAGTTTACGAGAACATTAATTTTTTTAAAACAAGTTTTGAAAAAGTCCCAGTTTCTATCTTCAAAATGACCAGAGTTGGGAAATTTCCGATCTTTTAGTTGTAGGGAACCTATAGGATATAGTTTTCCGATCCTTATGAAATTTTTTTGGCCAAAAGCCGGAGTTAGTATGTTAATTAGTATGTTAGTAAATATATTCTTTATTAGCCAAGAATATTAGTTATAGCCATTTCCGTCAGTGTTTTTTTTTGTTGGAATTTTATATTTTTTAAGGCTAGTTAAAGAGTGGGTATCTCGTCTACCAGATATACATCTGAGTGTATCAGATATACATCATAAACGACTATAAACGTTATGCTTAATTTAGTAAGACTTGCTGCGGGTATTATAATATTATTGGTCAATAGTGTGCAACGCAGTGAAGGAGACACCTCCGACCCTTTAAAGCAAGCCCATGGCTCCTCGGACTCTCAAGGCTCTCCCCGTTATTCGTAATTTTTGGCGCCAGCAAATCGAGGCAGACGATCGAGTCACGCGGTCAGTGAGCCGTGAAGATTTACAAAAACAATGCTACACAAATTCCGAGGCAGGTAGCGGGCCCAACCCCGAGGTCCCGAGTTTGCAACAACAATTATTAAAGGTGCGTTTGCGCACAACGCGACGACAACCATCGCGAGGGTGGTGGTTGTTGTTGTAATTTGTTGTCTGGCCGTGCTGCGGCTCCGATCGCTAGATTTCGTGCCCATCTAGGCTTTAAAGTATATATATTCATGACCAGGATCACCTCCCGAGTTGATACAAGCATGTCCGTCTGTCTGTTTCTACGCAAACTAGTCTCTCAGTTTTAAAGCTATCGACTTGAAACGTTGCACCCACCCTTATTGCCCCTTATTGCCCACCCACCCCTTTGCTCAGTAAATAAGTCGGAACGGCCAAGATCGGCAGACTAAATCCTATAGCTGCCATCGGAAATGCTGTAACTTTGTTGTTTTTTGAGCTAGAGAGTTTGGATTTTGCATGAGTGCTATATTTGGCAAAATAATACGACACACCATAAGGATCGGTTAACTATACCCTATAGCTGCAATATAACTGAACAATCGGAAATTATCCAACTTTCGTGTTTTGTGAATATAGAAAGCTTAAACTTGGTACAGATTCTATTTTTGGTCAGTTGATCCAACCTACCAAATTTCATAAGGATCGGCCGACTATATCCTACATATATCCTATATCCGACTACTACAGCTGCCAAATAACTGAACGATAGGAAATGGTGTTTGATAAAAATACCAACTTTGGTACTTGGCACTTTTTTGTAACTTTCTTGTAATAAATTGGTTTTATTATGATGTTCTCATAAAAATCGACCAACTATATCCGATGTTTCCGGTTTTAGCTGCAAGGGTATATCAACATCGGCTCCGCCTGAAGTTAGCTTTCCTTTTTTGTTTATAGCAGTGGGGGGCAAAACCCACGCATGTTTAAAATTGTAGTGTAAGCGTAGCAGACAAAAAAAATTAGAGCAGAGCATTCACTGATAAAAAAAAAGTTAGTTTTTGATTTAATTTTTTGTTAATTCGAAATTTTGAATGGGCACTAAAATAGTTTATTTTATTTTAAAGAAAGCTTTTCTAGCAATAGTTCTTAAACAAATGAAAATCTACGCTTTCCTACCTATATTTTTTTATGGAAAAAACTTGTTAAAGTTAAAATACATAAAAAGAAACCCAAAAAATTAAGAGAATTTAATTTAACAGTGCAAAGTATCTGTTATAAAGACATAATTAAGAAAACTAACGAACTCTTGGTAGATTTTATGGTATCAAGAATAAATTCCGTATTAAAAACTCAAGGAAGGCCAACTAAATACTAAAGAACCCCAAAAAAATTTTTTTTAAAAACAAGAATATGTTTTTAAAGTTTTCAAATAAAAAATAAAAATAACAATTAGGAATTTTTTTATTTGAGATCAGAGATTCTTATTTAGACATTGAGGTTCCTATTTAAAAACATTAACTGGTCAACAATATTTGATTTTAAGGCGCATCTCCTATCAGATATAATCTGTCCAGCTTTGCTGAACGCTCGCTCTGAAGCGCAGGAAGATGCTGGCACGCATAATACTTTTTTAGACAGAATTGCTAAGGCTGTTGTATCGTTTGTATGCGCCTAA